AACACAGATTTGGGGGATAAGTGTTAGCACGACATCACTGCTTTTCATTCTTCGTCTCTGACCCTATCTATATTGCTCTATCTAATATAACTATTGAAGGAACTCTGGTAGCGTAGTGGTTACAAAATCGGCTGCAAACCGCAAGGTCAACAGTTTGAAACCACCCGCCGTTCCGTGGGAGAAAGATGAGGATTTCTGCTCCCGTAAAGATTTATAGCCTCGGAAACCCTGTACAGGGTCGCTATGAATCACAACAACGACAATATTGCTTTATTTAATATAACTGGTAACGTGATTTGACTTGAACCCACCATGATGCTAATTGCTGCCTGCTTGTGCCGTGTGTTAAGTGCTCATTTCTCCATCTGCTTTGGATTGGCATAATGCTACTTGTAGGCTGTGAGAAGTTGAAAGATATATATTGTAAAGCAGCCACTGAAATGTTTTTAAAATGTGGTATGTCAGTCAGTGGTGGTGGTGTGAGGCTTTCTGCTCCTGTCAGAAATTTACAGCCTCGGAAACCTTATACAGGGTTTCTATGAATCGGAACCAGTTTGATGGCACACCACCACCACCACCACCACCACTGGCTTATGTACCACTTTTTTGCCAATCTATGTAGTGTATGTACCACAGGAAATTTCCAATCTCTCCCTGCCATTGCAGTCTTTTACTTCCATGTGATTGTGTTCCACCAAAGTGGTTCCAACTCATTGTGACCCTGTATAGGGTTTCCAAGGCTGTAAATCTTTACAGGACCAGAAAGCCTCATCTTTCTCCCAAGAAGTGGCTGGTGGATTTGAACTCCTGGCCCTGCGGTCAGCAGCCAAGGCATAATTGACTGCACCACCAAGGCTCCCCATTACTTCCATATATACCGTCAGTGTACAAAACCCTGCTTTTAGTTTTGTTTTATTTTTCATAGTGATTAGAAATTTCTAAAGTTTTTTTTTTTTACATGTGCCTTCATTTTAATTATTTTAAAATAAAAAAAAATTCTTTTGGCAGATCCAAATCTCTTTCTGTGTGATATTGTTTCTGTCAGTAGAAATTCCTTGAGTATTTCTTGTAGCGCAGGTCTGCTGGTAATGAATTCTGTTGGTTTTTTGTTCATCTGAAAATGTCTCGTCTTTGCATATTTTGAAAAGCGTAGGCTTAGAATTTGTGGTTGGTAGAGTGTGTTTGAGCACTTTGAAGTTGTCTTCTGGCTTATCATGGTTTTTCATCAAAAGCCTGTCTGTCTCTCATCTGTGTTCCTTTTATATATAATGTGTTCTTATTCTTAATCTGCCATCAGTATTTTAGCTATGGTACATTTCCGTTTGTCAGTAATATGGTGCTGTTGTTGTTGTTAAGTGCCATTGAGTCGGTTCTGACCCATAGCGACCCTGTATAATCCAAGGAGCGGCTGGTGACCTTGAACTGCCGGCCTTGCAGTTCAAACTGCCTTTGCAGTCCAGCGCATTAATCCACAGAAGGACTCCAGATACGGTGCTAAGTTATTTTTTAGTACGTTGCTTAGAGCACACTGACGTTTCTGGGACTAGTTGAATTCTTTGGATCTGTTTGGGAAATGTCAGCCATTATCTCTTCAATTTTATTTCCTCCCATCCTCTCTCCTCACTGCCGCTGTAAGATGTCTCATAGCTCTTGGATACTCTTTTCTGCTTTCGTCATTCTTTTTTGTGTTTCATTTCAGATGATTTCTGTTGAGTACAGTCAAGTTCTTTGACGCTTTCTTCATATGTGTTGTGTCCATCTGTGAGCATTTCTGAAACAATCTTTATGGTAAAATTTCTAGTATTCGTTTGACTTTTAATTTCCATTGCTCATCTGTTCCTGTATGTTCTCTGCCCTGTCCACAAGAGCCTTCCAAATGCCAGTCAGCTATGCAAAATTCCCTGATAATCCCCAAATCTGGGTCATCTCCATGTCTGCTTTTATTGAGTCCTTGGTCTCTTACCAGTGTTGCTTGTCCTTTTTTTTTAATCTTGTACTTTTAACAACGGAATGTCAGATGACAAGAAGAGAAGAGTGCGGACTAAGAGAAGCAGTGTGTTTGCCTGGGAAGGAATGGGCATCGTTTCCACTAGGCTGTTAGGGTGGAGCGTTGGTTCCGTCTGTTCAGGAATGGAGTTTGTTGCCGCGCTAGTTATTCGCAGTACATCACTGGATCCACAGGTCTGTACCATGACCTCCTACTGAGGCATTTTCTCACTGCTCTTGCGCCACCCTCAGCTTTTAGCCAGCCCTGTGGACATACCTGTGACAAATAAGGCTTCTCTGTCCATATTGTTGCCTTTTTCCCAGTGTACCTTGCTGTTGCTTATCAACAGGGACAAGCTAGTGTTTCCTTAAGATGCTCAGATGTGTTCTCTGTTGTCTTGGTGTAAGACCAGTCTTGAGTGAAAATCAGGGAACTGTATGCATTTTGAGGCGCTAGAACTACATAATGCTAAAAATAAGACTGAAGCTTCCTTTTTTTGGAGGTGGGGGGCTGTAAACAAAAAAGTAGGCGATGCTGCCATTTTGTGACTAATCTGAAGACAAGAGTTCATCCAAGATGAGGTGAGAGAATGAAAGGAAGTGGATCTAGAGTCCTGAAAGACACAGACACAACTCTGGCCCTACCTGCAGTCTGTCATCCATGTAGACTAAGAAGTTTTCTTTTTGGTGAAGCAACTTGGAGCTGGGCTTTCTGTTACTTACAACTAAAAGCATCTTAACTGGTGAAACCACCTTGAGCTCTCATCCCCTTGCCTTGGAAGTGAAAATAGCAAAGAGATGCATTAGAGACGTGGGATTTCTGGTGACCTGTGCACCTGGAAGAACCTTGGAAGCCAGGTTAAATTGTCGCCTGCTCATCCCAGTCATTCATCTAGGCGGAGGGATCATATGATGGGTTTTTATGCATAAACGATTGGAGCACAGTGGGCTGAAAACCACAAGGTCGGCAGTTCAAGCCTACCAGTCACTCTGCGGGAACAAGATGAGGCTTTCTGAGCCCACAAATACTTACAGCCTCTGGAGCCCTATACGGGTCACTATGAGTCAGAATCGACTCTACAGCACTTAATAACAAACATCAACAAAGCATAAAGGATGAATATCTCTGTGGTGGTTTATATTCTGTTTTACAGGCATTGCTCTAAGTTGAGTAAGTGTTCACTGTAAAGATTTCTTTTAAATGAAGTACAGGGGAAAAAAAAAAAAAAACCCTACCAAATTTGCTTTCAAGAAAAAAATACTAGATACAAATGGTGAATAATCTTGGCAGTTATTGTGAATTTTACTACCACTTGTTGTTAAGGGCTATTGAATTGGTTCAGACTCAAAGAGACCTTAATGCACAACAGAATGAACACTGCCCTGCCCCGTGCCAACCTCACAATCGCTGCTACGCTTGAGCCCACTGTGACTGCCGCTGTGCCAGTCCATCTCATTGGGGGTCTCTTTTTCGCTGACCCTCCACTTTACCAAGCAGGATGTCCTTCTCCAGGGACTGGTCCCTCCTGATAATATCTGAAGTATGGAGTCCTGGGGTGGTGCTGTGGGTTAATGCACCAGACTGCAAAGCTGTTTGAACTGCAAGGTCGGTGGTTCAAGCTCACCAGCTGCTCCTCGGAAACCCTATACAGGGTCACTATGGGTCGGAACTGACTCGATAGCCCTTCACCACAACAACAACACGAGAGGTGAAGTCTGGCCATCACGGCGTTCTAAGGCGTATTCTGGTTGTGCTTCTCCCAACACAGATACTTGTCTTCTGGTAGTCCATGGTGTACTTTCAATATTCCTCTCCAACACCAGAGCTCAAATGCATCAATTCCACAGTCTTCCTTACTTATTGTCCAACTTTCACATGTACATGAAGCTACTGAAAATGCCACGGCTTCTACTCCTGAAACTCCCCACCTGTTCATGCAAATGGACTTCAAGAGAAATACGGAGACTAAAATCAAGTATCATAAGTTTTATATTTATTATGAAAGTATCTGTCATTTGTAATTATTTCTGACATTTTCCAAACAGCAAAACACAGGACAAACAGAAACTCGATTGTATAAAATGTTGTGTTCTGTTTATGAACAGTTTATCCCAAACTCTGACTTTACAGTCATTTTAAAGTACCCATACATGGAAACACACACACAGCTACATTTCAGTTGTTGGCACACTTTCTCTATAGAAACACCATCATTGTCATCATCATGTGCTGCCGAGTCAGTTCCAACGTATAGTGACCTGGGCTAGGGTTCCCGAGAAATGATTAGCAGGTTTGAAGGCTAACCTTGCGGTTAGCAGTTCCGTGCTGATCTCACATAAGGACTCCACAGAGAGAGACCAAATGTTAAGAAATTTAGCACATCCCTGAAGATGAGACAGAAGATGGAAGGAAACCAATCCCAAGAGTCACAAACAGACACATTGCTATTTCAGGTTGCAATATTGCTTGATGTTCGACATTTCAAATACTTACTTATTTGAAGTGATTATTTGAAGGTTACCTACAGTATTCCTTCTCAAGTGCATTTTTAAATGTCTTTTTTGTGTGTGTGGGGGGGGGATGAGCTGAATATAATTTATAGCTTTTTGAACTTTTACTCATTTAACAACAACAAAGGACTGAGCAGCAGTATAATGAGTTGCGTAGTGTCTGTGGTTTTGTAGACTTAACAATGAACGTGATTCCTTCCCTCGTGGAGTTCCATTCTAGTGGACGTGGATTTCGGCATGTTCTCACTGTGCTGTTGTTAAAACCCTTGGAGCCCGTGGAGTAACTGAGGTTCTGACCACATCCCTCTGGAGCACCTGCCCTTAGGCACCTCTGCTGTGTGGTCTCCTGATTTAGGAGGTTGGACAGAACAGTACAGTTTTCATTACAATTAAAAAGATAGAAAATTTAAGTAGAATTTTTTTTTTTCTTTTTACTGTAAGAACTCTAGTGAACAGGAAATTTTAGCTCCTATTTGAAGGCTTAAAAACAAACATGCACCATTTTACAGAACTTCATTCCTGCGTTGGAGATTCTTAGATGAAGGAACATCCTTCTTGAACTCTTCACTTTTATAGAGTTTATCACTGTGGACTCTTTGATGGATTAGAAGACCCGAGCTCCAACGGAAACCCTTACCACACGCTTCACATTCGAATGGTTTCTCTCCCGTGTGGACTCTCTGATGGGCTTGAAGGTTGGATCTCTGACTGAAGCTTTTTCCACATAACTCACATTTGTATGGTTTCTCCCCAGTATGGACTCTGTGATGGGCTTGAAGGCTCGAGTATCCACTGAAACCCTTACCACACTGTTCACATTTATAGGGCCTGCCCTCTGTGTGGACCCTCTGATGTGCTTGAAGCCGTGAACTCTCGCTGAAGCCCTTGGCGCACACCTCACATTTGTACGGTTTCCCTCCCGTATGAACCCTCTGATGCGCTTCAAGGCGTGAACTCTGACTGAAGCCTTTCCCACACAGCTCACATGTGTATGGTTTCACTCTTGTGTGGACTCTCTGATGACCTTGGAGATACGCTCTCTGACTGAAGCCTTTCCCACACAGTTCACAGACATACGGTCTCTCTCCAGTGTGGACGCTCTGATGACTGTGAAGGTATGACCTCTGACTGAAGCTCTTACCACACTCGTCACAGTGGTATGGCTTCTCTCCTGTGTGGACTCTCTCATGGGCCAGAAGAGTTGAGGCCTTACTGAAGCCTTTACCACATTCTCCACACTTGTAAGGTTTCTCTCCTGTGTGAACCCTCTGATGAATTTGAAGATTAAAGTTCCAGCTGAAGCCTTTCCCACACTCCTCACACTTGTACGGTTTCTCCCCAGTGTGGACTCTCTGATGGCCTTGGAGGTGTGAACTCCGACTAAAGCCCTTCCCACACTCCTCACACTTGTAGGGTTTCTCCCCGGTGTGGACTCTCTGATGGCCCTGAAGGTACGAATTCCGACTGAAGCCCTTCCCACACTCCTCACATTTATATGGCTTTTCTCCAGTGTGGATTCTCTGGTGAGCTTGAAGGTATGAACTCCGACTGAATTCCTTACTGCACTCCTCACATTTATAGGGTTTCTCACCTGTGTGGATTCGCTGGTGAACTTTAAGAACGGATTTATGGCTGAAGCCTTTACTACACGCGTTGCATTTGTATGGCTTTTCTCCAGTGTCGACTCTTTGATGATCTTTAAGTTGTGAACTCCAACGGAAGCCATTCTCATACTTCTTATGTGGTTTCTGCCCACTGTGGACTTTCTGATGGTCCTGGAGATACGGAATTTGAATGAAGCTGTTACCACATGTATAATGTTTGTACGGTGGTTCCCTTGTATGGACTGTCTGAAGGTCCTGAAAACGTGAAGCCAGACTGAAGTCCGCATCAGCCTCCTCAGAATTGTAGAGGCTCTCTTCCACGTGAACTCCATGCTGAATGTTAAGATTCGAACTACAAATGAAGTTCTTCCCACACTCCACCCCTGTGTATAGTTTCACTTGAGTGTGGCTTTTCTCATGACCTTGAAGACAAGAGCTCTGATCAAAAATGTACTCATTCTCTTTGTATTCATGGGGTTCCTTCCCAGTGTGGAGCCTAAGAATGCTGCTAAGATCTAAGCTGTGGCTGAAGGCGTCATCACAAATACTCCATTTATTGGACTCATCTCCTGTGTGAGTAAGCTCACAGGTGTTAAGAGACGAATACTGAATGAAGTTCTTACTATACTCACATTGGCATGCTTTCTCCGCCGTTTGCAGTCTCTGATGAGCTCGCAGATGTGAATTCTTCACGCCACAGTCATCTCCTGTAGGGTGAATATGCAGAACTGAGCTATAACTAAAGTCCTTGTCACACTGACTGTCCATATGGGCTTTCTTCCCATCTAAGTGTAATCGCTGATGAACTTCAGAGCTGGAGACATCGTTCCAGATTCTTCTATACTCACCACACCAGTAGGGCTTGTGTTCTGCTTGAATTAAATCCTCATTAAGTAATGACCTCTTTATGACGGCTTTGCCACAATCATGGCAGCTGTAGCGTTTTTCTGTTTTGCGGATTCCCAGATTGTCATTGTGACATGAGACCCAACTGACACCATCGCACTTACAAAAGTGATTTCTCATGGGGATTTGCTGACATCTACACTGATAATCATGTGACTCCGTTAGATACATTTTCCTCCAGGAATGCAAGGCCCTCCAAGCTGGAAAGTCTTGAGTCTTTATGGAGCCTTTCCCTTTATGCGTCAATATATAGTTTTTGTCTTTGGAAAGCTGAATTGGTATTCCTTCCCAAACCTGGCAGGGGGAACCATCTTGCTTTTGTAAGGGAGAAGTATCCCCTTGAGGATTTTTCGTGGAATCCCCACACTTGGTTGGTCTGCTCGCATCTTGTTGCCAGGGGAACACTTCTTCGGTGCGAAGGCAGTTTATGTTCACCTCTTCAGTACTCGCCATCTTAAGTAGACTCTGGTGTTCTGTGGGAATAAGGAGAATCCAGACATATGGACAAGTGAGTGCTTTATCCAATACCTTCAAGATTTTACACTCAGATCATGGCATCAAACTTGAATGAACTACAGGAAAACTCAGTCACAGCCTCTAAACAGACTTAGAAGAATCCTCATACTTGGTTGCACCAAGTCTACGTGGAGGACACCCAGAAGTCTGGCTACCTGTACACAACCAGGCCTAATGAAACGGTACACATGTCATCATGGCTTTATCATGGGTTCCTAGGAGATCCCAAGAAAATCCTCTCAAATTGGAAAGAATAGAGTTGTAAACGGATAAATGCTTTTTATCCTCACAGTAACTTTTTCTTTATTCTCTGCTACTTGTGCACGCATAAAGAGCTCTGGTAGTGTAGTGGTTATGAATCGGGCTGTGAACCTCAACGTCAGCAGTTCGAAACTACCAGCAGTACTGCAGGAGAAAGATGAGGCTTTCTGCTCCCGTAAAGATTTACAGCCTCGGAAACCCTGTACAGGGTCGCTATGGGTCGGAATCGACTCGACAGCTAATAACAACAGCTTATGCACACATAATAAATTTTCGGTTTGTGTGGAGACATGTATGTCAAATGCTGCGCTGGAAAAAGTATGCAAAGACCTTGAATATACACTCATGACATCATGTGGCTGCTCTCTAACGAGTAGATGATACGCACTGGACTGTTCACCTCAAAGTCAGTGGTTCAAAGTCACCAGCTGCTCCTCAGAAACCCTAGACAGGGGCACTATGAGTCAGAACTGAACCCACAGCACTTAATAAAGTCACTGTAAGTTGAGGTCCGTTTTTAACCCCTTTTAGAAGTGGTTTCACAGTGACTACAGGCCACAGGACAAGTCAGAAGGTGACACTGTTACAGTATTACACTCAAAGACATGAACATTTGTTTTGATTTTGAGAGAGGTGACCATGGCCTTGTCTCAAGGCACTTATAAGTGATCTTTGAGTCAACTCATCAGCCATGAGCAAAACTCAGTGGACACTGGTGTTAGACTTGATGTTTTATTAGGACAACTAGTTCAATATTTAGGGAATTTGAGGCACCAGAGTAGTTGAAGATATGCATGTCTACGTGCGTTATGGAAATATCACCCAGTTATTAAGGCTCAGGTTAAAAGCAGTCAGATCTTCGAATCCTGTTGGGACGGATCCTTCACGAGCACAAATGTTTGAACAGAGTTGACGTCATGATACACATGCTTCTAGCACTTGGGCTCTAACTTGGTGGCGGTGGTGGTTGGGTGCCGTGGAGTCGGTTCTGACTCATAGTGGACCCTGTCTAGGATTTCCGAGGCTGTAAATCTTTATGGCATCAGAAAGCCTCAGCTTTACCCCGGAGAGTAGCTGGTAGATTTGAACTGTTGATCTTTCAGTTTGCAGCCCAACTTGAAACCCAGTATGCTACCCGAGTGCCGTAGTATCCAGAAAACAAAACAAAACAGGGGATTGTTTTCCTAATATGAACATAGTCATTTCTCTTTACTACTGTTTGCCTGCCTTTCCACACTGCACGAGAGCTTTGTTCTGTGCTCTGTGTTCTCCTCACTGCCTGTGAACACTTGTCTAGTCATAGTCGTTGTTGGAATCTAATCACATAATGAATGAATCACCGTTTGCATGAATGTGAGAGCTTAAGCGTACTCATAGATATGTGGTGTGATGCTGTAGGATAAGCACGGGACTGCTAACTACAAGGTCGGTGGTTCAAACCTACCAGCCGCTCCTCAGAAATCCTATCCAGGATCACTATGAGTAGAACTGACTCACAGAAGGATGTGGCATTTGTAAGAACGTTATTTTTAAAGGATAAGGAGCTCTGGTAGCGTAGTGGTTACAAAACAGGCTGCTAAGCTCACAGTCAGCAGATCGAAACTACCAGCTGCTCTGCTGGAGCAAGATGAGTCTTTCTGTTTCTGTAAAGATTTATAGCCTCGGAAATGCTGTACAGGGTCGCTATGAGTCGGAACCATCCATGGCATATCACGACAACAACAAGGAACTATGACAATTTTGCTGGAAAGCTGAAAGGCTGTGCAGGTGGGGTGGTGGTTATGTGCCGTTGAGTCGGTTCTGACTCATAGCGACCCTGTTGTACAAGGTTTCCGAGGCTGTAAATCTTTACAGGAGCAGAAAACCTCATCTTGCTCCCCTGGAACGGCTGGTAGTCTCGAACTGTTGACCTTGAGGTTCATAGCCCACCTTGTAACCACTATGCTACGAGCTCCTGCAAGAGGGCAGTGGTGGTGGTTATATGCCGTGGAGTCGGTTCTGATTCATAGCGACTCTGGTACAGGGCTTCTGAGGCTGTTAAATTTTTTTTTTTTTTTTTAGGCTGTAAATTTTTACAGGAGCAGAAAGCCTCCTTTTTCTCCAGCAGAACCGCTGGTAGTTTTAGAACTGCTGACTGTGAGATTAGCAGCCCGACTCGTAACCGCTACACTATCAGAGCTCCTGAAGTAGGAGGTAGTAGGGTCCCACTAAAAGTGATGCTGCTGTTGAGAAAAAAACCAGGGGAGGGAATCTTCTCTCCAGTTAAAAGAAAAACGTAAGAGCTAAAATCATGCACAGGTGTATGGATTGAGTCTTTTTAACTTTTAAAATCACGTGAATTTTACCTGTAGTCCCATGCTACCTCCAACTTACGGAAAAAGAAAAGGCCCTATTGAAGATCACCTCACTAGTCTGGGGGCAGGATGACACTTTAGGGCAGGGGTGGGAAATGTTTTTTTGTCAAAATTTATAACATCATTGTGGACCATACAACATTACCAACTTAAAAATGAGCCTGCTATATTTAGTCAAAGATTCCTGGTGTGGCGCTGTGGGATCAGCCCTGGACTGTGAACCCCAACGTCATTAGTTCAAACCCACCCAGAAGGCTGGCCTTCCAGCTAGAGTTGATCATAATGTTTATAGTTTTGTTTTGATGTCATCAGCCCTACTCAATATACAGCCATAAAGGTGGATTCTAATGTTGTAAGTATGCGTCTTTTGGGATTGGCTCAGTGGTTTAAGCACATCAAAACAGTGTGGTAGTTAATGTCTAATTTCTTACAAATCAGTTGTTTGAATATAAATTAGTACATGATTTCTGACACAATAATATCAACTAGAAAAGTTAAAGTTTCCCTAATATTAGGGAGGGGTTTTCACAATATGAAAAGAACAGAGGAAGGGGTCAAAAAACTCTCTCATTTAATTTCAAGTTCTTTGAGGGAGAAAAAACCACACACATTTAGCACTTTAATTTCCTTTAGTAAAATGGTACAAAAAGAAATATCGTATTCTACGTAAGTTCTACTTTAATATCAATGGAAGGGAGAAGTTGTGTTAAATCAAGTTTATAAAAATATGATGGAGAAAATATCTATCGCAAAAGAGCACTGAGAGACTCTTTTCAGACGGAACGACTTGAGGTGAGGCAGTTGAGAATTGATTTCATTTTCTTAACCCTGCTCTAGGAGTCCTGGTGTGGCGCTGTGGATAAAGCACTGGACTGCAAGACTGGTGTGAACCAAAAGGTTGGTGGTTCAAGCTCACCAGCCACTCCTCAGAGACCCTATACAGGGTTGCTGTGGGTCGGAGCCCTCGACAGCTCGGCACTTAACAGCAGCAATGGTGAAATGGGTACCCTTATGTGGCCTTTTGCCTTATTTGGTAAAATAGCTTGAGCGGGGTTTCCGGGGCTTACCCTCAGAAGTTACCAGTGCCTTAGTTTCTTACTCCAGAGCGTTTGTTACTTTTGTCTAGGTTGAATGACGTTTCCTGGGTAAGTTGTAAATAGCTGGAGGGTTTGATACTGGTTTTGGTACTGGACAGCAGCCTGCCCAGTGATTGGTAGGCACCTTGCAGGGACTGGTCAATATACTTATGCAAATGACTTGTCTGTAGCCTATTAAGAGGATATGGGTCAGTTCAGGGCCTGGAGAGAAGGCCAGACCTTGAAATGAATGAGAAGCTGGTTATATATGCAGCTGACCCCACAGAGGAGGGCAGAAAGCTGAGAGAGGAGGCGTGGAGCAGCAAGAGTCAAGGACTGTAACCCTGAGGCCTGGGAGGGGGCCTGCAGCAAGTGACCCCACCACCAGAGGTGGTGGGGGGTGGGTGGGCAGAGAGCTCTGCAAGGCTGACAGGGGTCCTGAGGGGAGAGCTATACACTACAAAGGGGAGGGGGGAGTGCTCCTCTCTGAGGTGCCTTCCAGACTTTGCCTGTGTGCTTCTTGGTCCTAATCCCAAGTTATAAACCACGAATCTGTGAGGGCTGGGTGTCCACTGCAGCAGTGGAGTATGGAAAGCAGCAGAGAAGGAGAGTGCTGGGGGAGGGGTGGCTGGTGTCAGATCCGGCAAAAGGTCCGAGAGTGACCTCTACCTCATAGGGATCAACCCTGGGATAATCCTGTTTGCAGAACGCCCCCTGCTGTTAAGCTAGGTCCTGTAGCCAGGTCTAGACCCCTTACACAAGGCCCTCCCTGTTCAGAGCTTTGCTAATGGGAACATGGCATTCATCCCTGGTGAGGGCTTTGGCATTCATCCC